TCCGTCCGTCCGTCCGTCCGTCCGTCCGTCCGTCCGTCCGTCCGTCCGTCCGTCCGTCTATCCGCCCGCTCAACCGCCCGCCCGCCGGACCGCCGGACCGCCCGCTCGCCCAACCGCCCGCTCGCCCGACCGCCAGCCCGACCGCCCGCTGGCCCGCCCACTCCTTCGCCCCATTTCGCTCTCTATCGCGCGCTCTCTCTCTCTCTTTCTCTTTCTCTCTCGCGCTCTCTCTCTCTTTCTCTCTCTCTCTCTCTCTCTCTCTCTCTCTCTCTCTCTCTCACTCTCTCTCTTTCTCTCAAGAGTTGGCCCTTATGACCAGGAGCGTAGCTAACCCATTTTGCCCGGGGGCAAAGCCATGTGCAGATTTTGTTCTGTTACCTACATTTCCCGGGGCGGTGGGGGGGGGGCAACTGCGAACTGGCCACTCCCGCTAGTTACAACCCTGTTGTCATGAGCAGCGGAAACAGTTCCGCAGGAACATTGCCCTGAATGTTATAGTGCTGGGAAAACCCCGTGTACAAAAACACTTGGTAATTCCCAAGATGTATTATGCCCTAAGTTTGATCGGGGCGTAAAATATGGCGTTCGTTGTGAGTGTAAAAGTATTGTCATCTCACCACGTGTGTGTCTTCAACTGTGGGAATCTCATTATGAGCTTTGCTATAAGTTTGGCCGTATACTGGAAATGACCTACGCGGGATTGCGCGCTAGGTTTGTTTATTTTTCACCAGTGGGTGTGCCAGTTGCAGTAATGCCAGCGAGGTAACTTCCAAAACAAACAGACGCCATTGAACTATACGACCGCGTGGAGTGCAGTAATTCTGTTTACGAATAACAATAAACTGTTTCTCCTTCCTCACGATATGCTGCTTATTATTGCTAGGTCCGAATCCTACATGCTGCCTATAACAACGGCAAATACGACTGCAAAGGATATGATTATAGGTTCATAAGATCAGAAGTAGATCTACCCTAATTCCCTATTATCTACTTCTGATAAGATCCATTGTGTGTTTTCTTGCACTATCTTGCCTTATCCTATAATAATATAATATCCTATCACATCTCATCTCATCTCATCTTACCTTATATTGTATTAGCTTATCTTATCTTATCTTATCTCATCTTACTCTATATCTTGTATTAGCTTATCTTATCTTATCTTATCTTATCTCATCTTATCTCATCTCACCTCATTATATCTTATCACATCTGACATTGGCTTACGTCTTCTTGGTTTATTCTAGCTTAGCTTCATTAATTATCATCTTCTAGTCGTATCCATGTTATCAGGAGTGAATATTATTATTCACTCCTGATGTTATGTTACTCATAATTAATACCTTACATTGTCTCGTCTTATCTTACCTATCGCAGCCTTACAAATATGATCGTATCTCATCTCGTCTTATCTCAACTCATTTCTATACCGCGGTTTATGGTTGGTCATTGTACTAAGAAATAATTATTTTTACTGCGGTAATCTGATTTAATCGTATTCTTTTCTTTCTTTGTTTCATCATACACTATAACATCTACCGATTACTTCATATCCAATTTTCTTCAATACCATTTTAAAATAAATCCAATTGTACTCTACCCATTCCACCCTACATCAGAATTTATTGTTCTTTTCTGTCCCACCACATTTTGTCGTTAACCATTTTGCTGTCAGCGTGAACTCTTAGTGTATACATCTTATATCAGGACACCGATGTGTATGTTTACGTGAATAGCGTGCTGATGTGTGGCTATGAGAGAGAGAGAGAGAGAGAGAGAGAGAGAGAGAGAGAGAGAGAGAGAGAGAGAGAGAGAGAGAGAGAGAGAGAGAGAGAGAGAGAGAGAGAGAGACGACGACGACGACGACGACGACGTACGACGTACGTACGTACGTACGTACGTACGTACGTACGTACGTACGTACGTACGTACGTTACGTACGTTACGTACGTACGTACGTACGTACGTCGTACACATTGCACACACGCACACACCACACACACACAAGCACCGCATCACTATACCACACACACACCACACATAACACAACCGCACAACATACCACACACACACACACATATCACACACAACACACACACACGCCACACGCACACAAAACACACAACACACACACACGCACAATTATACACACACACCGCAACACATACACACACGACACACCAACACACACACCACACAAGCACACACCACACACACACAACAGCACACACACGCTTACACACAGCACACACACAACACACACACACACACACACGCGTACGACGCGGTCAGCGAGTACATGAACAGTAGTTATACAGGCCTGCGTTACGAAAACGTACTCCTTCAGTGATTGATCTCGCGGCTGTAGTCGCTTGCAGGCTCGCATCTCGACGTCTCTCATGTTTACCCGCCGTCATTACTATAATCATATTATTTGTTTTTATATATTTTATTTTATTTTTATTTTGATTATAATTTTATTGATCATTATATATTCATCATGTAACCTCGCCTCATAACAGGGACAGATACGCGCGGCTCGCGGCGTGTGGTGTGTGTGTGTGTGTGTGCTGTGTGTGATGCTGTGTGTTGTTTGTTTGTTTGTTGTTTGTTTGGGTGCGAGTTGCGTGCGTGCTTGCCTGTCTCGTCTGGTCGTGTCTGTTCTGCTCTGTCTGTCTGGTTGTTTGTCTGTCTGTCTGTCTGTCTGCTGGTCGTGCGTGGTCTGTCTGTCTGTCTGTCTGTCTGCTCTGTCTGTCTGTCTGTCTGGTTCTTGTTTGGTGTGTGTGTGTGCTGTGTGTGTGTGTGTGTGTGTGTATGTGCGGGAACTGTGTGGTGTGGGGCGTGTGTGCGTTGGTGTTGCGTGTGTCGTGTGTGGGTGTGTGGTTGTGTGTGGTGTGTTGTGTTTGGTGTGTGTGTTGCGTGCGCGATCGTGTGGTGGTTGTGTGTGTGTGTGTGGCGTGGTCGGTAGTCGTGTGTGCGTGCGTGCGTGTGTGTGTGTGTAACTATACTACCATAAATTTCCTCACCAATTGTGTGCGTGTGGTTGTAGTGATATCTAGCCCCTTCGCAGCGTAATTTATGGTGTGTTTTAGTTCGTGTCGTC